ACTGGCTTCCAACTGAGAGAAATCTACCCGTCTCTGCCTCCCAAGTGCTGGAATTAAAGGCATGCTCCACCAGGCTTGCCACAGACTGGGTCTGTGTTGTATTTAGAGAAAACAAGGTAATACTTGTTTGTTGTATTGGCTTCTCAATTTAACTAGTCTTTTGCAAGTATCAAGGGTACATCCTGGACCTAAGGAGGTAGCTGCTTGAATTAAAATGAGAACAATCTTAGACCTAGATATTGCATGCCAAACCCCTTTGTGATGGGTAACTTTAGGTGTCAGCTCTATTGGGATAAAGGGTACTGATGGTGGGTAAAAGATCACTTTGTGATGTGCTATGAAGTTATGTCCTGAAGAAGTTAGCACGGGAGCAGTAGACTGAGTGAGCGTTTGCCCGCCATTGTGAGTGGGCATCATTCAGCCTGTTGAGATCAAGACAGAAGCCAAAGGGTCAATTGCTTTCTTCTCAAGCTGGACACCCACCTCCTGCCCTTCAGACCCTGGGATTCTAGGCTGTCAGGTCTTCAGGTTCCATAACCCACACCTGCTTTTGGGCTTTTGGACTCATGCTGAATCCCACTACCAGCCTCTCTGGTTCTCCAGCTTTTAGACAGCGTATTGTTAGACTTCTCAGCTTCCATAATTGCATGAGGCAATTTCCATAATATCATTTCCCCCCCAGATTTCTTCTAGAATTCACTCTTTGCTTTTATTTTGAAGACTGTTTCCACAGCAAACTGCACCATTCCAAAAATGGCTGCAATGCTCCCTCCATCCCACAAGCTCAACGCAGATTGTGGCGCAGACCTCACTGCACGGAACGGCAGAGGTAGCCCACATCTACAGGCATGAGACTATGCTTTCCAGGATAAGATATTTTTATTTGGTTCTGCTGGGACACTGGCTCTTGGAACCCAGCTACCAAGCTGTGAAGAAGCCCAGGCAGCCTATAGAGAAGTCAGCGTGAGGAGGAGACATGAACCTTCATCAACAGTCTGCCTAACAACCAGCTTACAGACAGTGTGGGCCATCTTGAGAGTTCCATTGGACCTCATATTTGGTGTTCCCACCAAGCTTTGCTCAAATCAGTGACTCTTGTTATTTTCAGCCACTGTATCATTCTGGGATGGGATTTTATATGATGAGATAATTAATACAGTTCTCAAATCGTATAAACAGCAAACATTTTAAATTTGTTTTGGATAAATTTCTTTGGTTTATATCATCTCCTCTTTCTTCTAAGGAGCTGCCTCAACCACTGTCCTACCCCAAATTCTACCAAGAGTTGCAAAGATGGTAAACACAAATTGCTGTTATTAGCTTGATTGCTCAATAGGTATAAAGAGGGAACCTAGGCTGCCACTGGCTGCCTTTTTATATGTCCGCTGGGGGTTGGGGGACATGTAAAAGTGGGTAGCTAGTGTGTTTTTCTTGGAATAACCGATCAGAGTAGAATTATATATTTCCAAAAGTGAACTTTTCCATGAGGTTAAAGTTGACCGACATTCTCATACCCAGTGGGCATACCACAATGAATCAGGTACACCTATTCATGAGGATTGGCTTGTGTTCCTAAATCATGTGCCTATTGGAAGCTGAGGTGGATGCTGCTCTTGAGTATCCAGCTTGGCATCTCCGCTAGAGAGGCAGGATTGCCATCCTTCCTGAATCAAATGCTCAGCCATATGTCAAGAGGAGAGGATCCGACTGGCCTTGTTCCTCTCTGCCGGTTGCTACAACAGGCCTCTCTTGAGCTGATCGGAAATGAACAGACAATGTTGTACGATAATTGTCAGGATGCTAATTTTTCCCTTCCAATTCAGTTTTCTTCCCTTTCCTCTCTGCCTTCGCTCTGGTGTTCTATTCTATTTTCAGTCGAGTTCTCCAGATGAAATGTGTTCTCTTTAGATAGCTTCCTTTGAACATCTCCCCTGTTCAGTTTATTCTTCAAAGTTCAGATGTTCTTTTTTTCCCCTTTCTGATCTGATGTACAGTTTTAACTTCCTATCAGAAATTACCTTCTTACCAAGGACAAAGAGGGCAGCCAAGCAAGTACGGTGGGGATGGAGTGTGGGAGTTACTCCATCCTGTCCTCGGTTTTGGGACTGTAGAAGGAAGTTTCTCAGAGTAGATGTTAAGCGGGAACATCTCTTCCCCCTCAAGGATTTGAGGAACAGGGGCTAGCCTAGGGACTCAACATTGCCTAGACCCCAGCCTCAGAAGACACAGGACAGTACTCCGTAGGCATCAAAAGGCTGCCCAGAGCCTATGAGAAGGGAAGAATCCTGTGGTCATCAGCTGTATTACTCAGTTATTTTTTTGTTATTGTTGACATTATTAACTATTCAAGGAAGTGGGCTCCATGAAGTAAAAAAAGATTTACTTAGCACACAGTTCTGCAGGTTCATGTGTGCGGTATCTGCATTCGTTTATTTCTCATGAAGGCCTCAAAATAGATGGCGGATGGCAATAGCATTAGCGTGTCCTGCCAACTGGCTGGAGTTCAAGCCAGGTAGCAGGTAGAGAGAGGGAGGGGCCAGTCTTTCTCCCTTTATAGCAGCCCTCCCCCTTTTGATCTTTCTTTCTTTCTTTCTTTCTTTCTTTCTTTCTTTCTTTCTTTCTTTCTTTATTTCTTTCCTTTTCTTTTCTGAGATAGAATCTCTTGTAGCTGATGGTGACCTTAAATTTCCCATGTAGCTGAGGATGATCTTGCATTCCTGACCTTCCAAATGCTGGGATTATTGACATGAGCCACCATGTCCAGCTCTGTTGATGATAACCTTCTTATGAGAATACTAAGGGGATCCCAGAAGAATTACCTTGCAATAGCTTGCCTCCCAATGACTTAAGGACTTTTCCGTACAACTCACCTCTTTATTTATTATAAATTATGTGTATATGTGTGCCCCTATGTGGGTTTGTGTACATGAATGCACCGTCTACAAAAAGGGTGTTAGATCCTCTGGAGCTGGAGTTACAGGTAGTGGTGAGCCACCTGGTAAGGATGTTGGGAACCAAATTCAAGCCCTCTGCAAGAGTAGTTCATGTTCTTAACTGCTGAGCCATCTCTCTAGCCTCTAGGATTTTAAGGTTCCATTCTTCCAGTACTGCCACCTTGGGGATCCAGTTTCCAACATGAACCTTTGTGAGGTCACGATTAAACCATATCCTAGCCACATCACCCATTATACAAATCTACCCCAGAAAATGATGAGAGATCTCAGACCCAGAGAAAGTATGTATGGTTTTATATGATTGCATGCAAACATGTCTATGGGTACACGTGTATATGTATGTGTTGGAGGTAGAATTTTTATTCAGTGGCTTGTTGCTTGAAAATTAATGCATCAATATGATCTAGAGCTTGCAGCTTTCATCAAAGCCCCAGGAAAGGCATCTTGGCCAAGGAAGAGAACCTAAAGTGGAGGCCCATGGAAATATATCCTTACAGTGATACAGCATGAACAGAGTGAGCGGGCGAGCTAGAGGGGTTCAGAAGGTCAGCTCTCCAGATGATATTCAGATAACAAACGTTTGTCAGCGTGCTTGCTTCTAGATCCCCAGCTGCTCGTCCCCTGGACAGCAATGAGAGTGCAGCTCTCTGAAAGGGCTGGCCTTCCACCATTCATTACCACTTCCGACGTGAGAGGCATGAGTCCATGTGCACAGGTGGATTTTCCAGCAGCGACGAGTCCATTTGCTGTTCTAGGTAGTCGAGCTTCATACCTTAGAGCAGGGCTTTTTGAGAGCTCTCCTTCATTTCCTTCCCTGGCCAACAGCCCCTCCTAGGGAGCTGTGGCTCTCCCCTCTGCTTACAGTCCTTGAAAGAATCAACATCTTCCCCACAGCATCAGAATGCGGTTGTGAGACGATTGTAGCCGGCTCCAGGACACTCACTTACTTCTTGTATAAATACAAAGGTACTGAGGGAAGAGATGAAGAGATGCTGGAGCAGGGAGCCCTGGACATGGGAAGCTCTTTCAGCTTCCTTATCTTTCTTCTGCAGGAGTGAGAAGAACCTTTCCCTTTGCCTTGGTTCTCCACCTCACCCCCCCTAATCTCACCAACCCCACCTTGACTTTATGCTGCTAAAATGGGGCTGGGCTCTGAGTAAGATAGAAGGGGAAGCAGCATTCGTATGCAGGAGAAGCAGCATTTATTTAGAAGGAGGAGGAAAAAGTTTAATTGCTCAGAGTTAGGACTTAGTAATCATGAGCAACGATGACCAGCCGTGGGGGTGGCAGTACGTGTGTGCACATGTGTTCCAGGGGGGGGGGGGTCTGTGATTCCATAGCAGAGCCAATGACACATTCCAAATTTACCGACTTTCAGAGGTCATTTTAGTCATCCTCCTGCCTTTGGGCAGGATGGAGCCTAACTTAATATCACGAATGATGGAGTCAGTGTGCTCTGAGAGAAGAGTGTGCAAGGGAGTGTGTGTGTGTGTGTGGGGGGGGGGGTCGGGAGGCATCACGTGACTCCTTTGAACCGATCTCCAGCAAAGGACGTTCCCTTGTTTCCCCAGGATGCTTGGGTTTCCCCATCCCAGTATCAGCATGATCCTCCCGGGAACTGCTTTTTTTTTTTTTTTCTTGATAGAAACCGGATGTTAGATTCTCAAGGTGGGCGGGGGCTCCATGTCCCTCGGACCTGTCAAGGGTTATTGAGACTCCTAGGGTCCCATTAGCCAGTACGAGAAGCTACCATTTATTTCATCAGAAACTTGCCATGCAGTCTGAGCTGAGAACAGAATAGAGCAAAGACGCTACAACGCCTTTTTCCCAGGCAATGCGCATGATTCTGCGGCTCTTTGCTCGCTACACTTCAACGCACCTTGAAATGGGCTCGCCTTCTTCGCGCAGCGACGGGCAAAGAGTTAAGCCAATCAGTTACTAGATCTGTGAGCAATGTCCAATAGGCAGGCTGCAGGGGCGGGCCACTAGGCCAGGCCCGGCTAGGCTTCACCGTGGACCTGGCTGCGCTCTGCCTCCGTTGGCAGTGCAGGTGCCGCTGCGCCGGGGCCCGGGAGGCTGCGCGCCGAGCCGAGCCGAGCCAGGGAGGGATGGAGAGCGGGCCGCCCGGGCTACAGGAGCACCGGCAAGGGGCGTAGGCGGGCGAGAAGCGGGCGCTGGGGCACGATAAGTGTGCAGACGCAGGAGCACTTTGCGATAGGATGAGGCTCTTGGCTGGCGCGCGGTAGTACTATGATTTGGTATGTGGCCACTTTGATAGCAAGTGTGATCAGCACCCGAGGTCTTGCGGCTCAAGGTGAGTTGAAGTGCAGCGTCCCTCCTCCAACCCTTCTGGTTTTCTTAGACCTTCCCTCCGGGATCTGGCTCTCGAACCCTGGGAGCGAGGCTCCGACTCCGTCCAGGCGCACCCCGGGCTACTGGCTCGAGGGCTGGGGAGCTGCGGGAGGGAGGAACTCGGCGGGAAGGTTCGGAAGCCCTTGGGTAGTGGGGATGAACGTCTTGGAATCGAAGTGTACTTGGCCCACCTTGGGCCCGATAGTCCACAGCCGCACATCAAACCTGAGCTTTTGGGAACCCCTGGTGCTCTAACTCTGGCTGCTGGAGACTTTGCCGGTCTTCCGGCAGAATTCCGCGCGTCCCAGCCCTGCACAGCACCGCTGGATGGAAGAGCCCTTGCTGGGAGGCGCGACCAAGAGCTTGGGACTCCCCGCAGCCTCCTCCAAGGGACCGGGTTCTCCGCCCCGCGTCTTTCCTTTTCCTCTATCTTGGTGGCAGCGCTCCGATCCCGTTGGCAGGTGACGAGCGGAATTGACCTAGAGGCTCCGAGCAGCATCTGCTTTTCCTGGCCCTGGCGGCCGCCCGCGCCCACCCTAGCCGCACCTGGGCCCCGGCCAGGCAAAAGTTCCCGGGGAGGAGCCGTCAACGCGCCACGCTCCGGGCTGCCAGGCCCAGCGGCCTGGGGGCGAGGGCCGCTAGGGAGGGGTCTGCTCCGCCGCATCTTAGAGAGCGGAATTTTTCTTTCTGCTTTCTCGGGTCTGAGCCCAGGAAGAAGCGAGGGGGAAGACAGGGCGCGGGGTTAATGCTTGAGCGTGAGGGCTTTCCCTTTGGAGATGGGTGAGCTCTGGGTGGCACCCGGCTCTCGTCCCTTGTATGGAAGTCAGTGCCGAGCCTGGAAACTGCCAGGACTCTGAGCTCTAGGTTTCTGCGCGCCGAACGGATCCCGCTGTGGGCAAGTTTGCAAAGCAGGGAGGAGATGGCGGCGGGAGAGGAACGGTCTGTGGGTGGAAGGTGGCAGGGTAGCCGGTATGGTGGCGAGGACCTGCAGACCAGGGAGCCCTTTGGAAGGTCTCTGATGGAGGTGCGGGCTCCGCTGGCTTTTTTTGCACCTTGCCTAGGGGCGTGTGGGGGGAGTGGTTTGAGAAAGTTTCCGAAATGGAATGTGTCTCCTCTGCCGCTTGACAGGGGACTCTGAAGAGGAGAAGATGAAGGAAAGGGCGGCTTTCCATAAAAAAATTTGTGATGGTCGGGATGGTTATAAAGCTTTCCATTTGCCAGATGGGAAAACTGAGACAGGATGACCTCAGAAGCCTATGGAAAAAGGGTGGATCTTGCTGTCCTCTCCCCTCCCCCCTTTCCACGCAGTCTTTCAGTGACCTCCTCCTCCTCCCCTCTAGGTTTTGGTATGCTCTGCTGTGGGACTGTCTCTGAAAGCACAAAAGGCTGTGCCAGGATCAGAATCGAAGAGACACCGAAGGAAGGCTCTTAACTAGCCAGTCTTCCAACCTCAGCGAGGGTCTAGGCATGGTAAATTGAAACACAGAAAAAGGAAATTGCAGAGATTCGCCAAGTGGTTAGACAGAAGGAGGAACTTTCCAGTGTTGAAGGTTGCTGGACATGAAGGTTATTATCCCTTCTGTCTGAAACCCTGCTTCTGTCAAGGAGCAAGGATGACCTGACTGGTCTTGGGGTCTTTTAAATCTAAGATGGCTCTATGAGGCAGTCACAGACAAAGGTTTAAAGATAAATTGACAGAATCCAAAGCCTGACTGGCCCACTTGCTGATCCTGTGACCTTGGACAAATTTCTCAGCTTTTCTTAATGTCACTTACTTCAATAGAAAATGGGTTAGCTGTATGGACTTGTAGAGATTTGGGGTGTGTGGGAACCGTACTGTGAGGAAGAAGTGGCTGACTGCCTGATGGGCTCACCAAACATCATCGTTAGTATTTCAGTATCTGTAGGATTCCTGGCTCCTAATCAGTTTCTTTCTTTTGGGTTATTCAGGGAGCTGGGAGTTGGGAGTGTGTTTAGGGACACCCAAAAGTCTGCCTTTGAGGAAGCTAGACCCCATGTCATGGGCTGACCTTGTCTGATAGAACCTCCAGTGGCGTGTGGGTGGGGCATGTACAATTGCTTGGAAGTCCTTTGCAAGGTCTGCAAAGCTGAAGGATTGCTGGCTGCCAGATGCTACAAGAAGGATGCAGAACCCAGCCTACAGAGGGGGAAGGGCACCGGCTTGCCGGAGAGACCAGGGTTGGAGAGCTAGTGAGAGAAGTTATGCGGTGCCGTTCTTCTGTGAGTGGCAGAGGTGACTTCTGGAGAAATCCTCCAACTCCAGGGACTGTGAGATGCTTCTTCTAGAACTGTCTGAAGCGGGGGATGCTCTCGGTGAAAAGGGTCAGGTCCATCAAACTGCCAGGTTGGGACTGTCAACTTGGAAGTCTGGGACAGAGGTGGGCATGGAGTCCTCCTTTTGATTCTGGTCGGGCATTTTGGAAGTAACCAAGATCGGTGTTCAGGTTAGGAGGGTCAAGAAAAGAGGAAGGCTGTTGACGTGGTCTCTGCACACAGACATCTGCCCTTCGACCTGGGGCAGTTTCCACACTTTGTGGAAATCCTGAGCTAGAATTTTCTACCTCCTATAAGGAAGGGAAGTCTGTTCCTTATTCCCAGTGCTACTTCCCTGTCTGCCAGAATCTGTTGGTGAACTCCCTGGCTCCTGGGTGCCCAGGTAAATTGGTATCTGACTCAGATTCTGGTTGGAGCAGTGCCCTCTATCTGGCTTTGACCCACACAGCTTCCCTTTGTTGGTGGAGATGGGAAGGAGTGTTGCTAAACCCCTGGCCAGCCGCTCCGCTGAGGACTGGGCTCAGGAAGTGGGTGGTGAGCCCTGGTGTGAGAGTGTCTCAGGACATTGATATGGAGGCGGCAGGGGGAGGGGGTGTCTGGTAGGAGGTCTCCTGGAGGAAGCTGGAGTGGGAGGAGGCATGATGCCGGCCACTGGAAAGAGTCAGCTGAGAGCTGTGGGTCTGTGGCCTGGCATATACCAGTCTCTGGAGTTGTCAGGTCCCGGGTTCAGATGGTTTCATGTTTGTATCTCTAAGTCAGGAAGCTGGGGTCTGGTTTCTCAAGGAGCAAAGGTTGCCTAGGTAGGAGATGCTGAGAGCTGGTAGCTTCTTCACTGTGCCCTGCACTTTCCAGTGCCAGGTCTTCTCCCTGCCCTCTTGCCAGCACGGCAGCCCTGGCTCTCAGAGCTCGTCGGTAAGTATGCTTCTTGTTTGGCTTTCTCTCAGTTCTTCCGGGTACTCATTAGGTCTCCCCACAGCCCCCGGTTTGCACTGAAAATGTGGGGGTGGGAGGTAAGGCCCAGTTAGGAAGGTGCTATGAGCGGTGAGATTTAAATGATTCTCTTCTCCAAGAGCTGCTCCCTTCTGGGGGCTTCTAAGCTGCCCCCCCCCCAGGCTGTGTCCCCTTTCCCTCTACTTCCAGGGATGGGTTGAACAGTTTGCTTAAGGAGTGGGTCTGAATGAGCTGTGGTTGGCAAGAACTTTAGACTTCTTTTTAGAAGCGTGCGCATGTCTGTGCATGTGCATGTGTGCATAGACATACGCACCTCAGTATGTGTTATGTGTATTCTATATGTGTGTGTGCATATTTTATATGTATGCACACACATAAGTATCCTTGTATGCGTGTATGCTGGTGTTCCCACTTAGACATGTGTATACGTGCACTTACAGGCACTCGTATGTTTGTGTGCACATACATGGATTACATGGGGGGGGAGAGCAGTTATGGATAAGTTTAAGGTGTGAGCCCCTCTTTTGAGTACTATGGGATGCAGGGAGACTTCTCAGCAAACTTCTCAGCGAACAATGCTTCCCTGTTCATCACTCTGCACCTGCATCCAGGCAAGTCTTAGAGTTGAAGGCTTCAGCCCAAGGCCAGGAGCAAAGAATTCTTGAGGTCAAATAGAGAAAGCCTAAGTGTTGGACAGAGACTTGGCTCATGGGGAGGCTGGCTGCCTCTCTTGCTAACAGGCATTCATTGCCACCAGCCTGGCACAGGCGAGCGTAGACAAAGCTCTGGGTGCCTGGGGAGATGGAAGAAGATTGTGGTTGCAGAAGCAGCTTGCCGTCAGGCTTCTGCCCCAGGGGCACTGCCCATGGGTGTGGCCTGGTCCGCCTGAGGCAGCTGACCTATTTTTTCTTAGAAACCTTCCTGCTTTCCCGTTCGCTCTTGCACGAGTAAGCTGGAGAGTGGTGGGTAGAAATGGGGCCTCCGGGAGGATTTTGTTTGTTCCGTGGGTCTCAGCCTACCTGCCTGAACTTCCGACAAAGAGGGGCTGATCACCTGGCCTTCTGCCCTCTCCGCTGTCCCTTTGTCTTCTTCCTTGTCAAGTGTGCCCATAGATATGGGGCTGTGACATAAAACGTGTACATGGGCTTAGATGGTACTGGTGACTTGTCCTCACCCTAGTTCGGAGCAAGGATGTTGCTTGACCAGGAGTAATTTCTCACTAGTTCCTGTGTCTGCCCTGCCTGTGGTGCCTTCACTGGCTCGCCTGGCTGTGTGCATCCCAGATTGCCCTGTGGGGTACACAGGCTGTGTGAGGACAGGCTTCCTTCCACCCAGGTGGTAGAGCTCGGGTTGTGGGTATAGGGGGTGTGGCCTCGCTTTTCTGCTGAGGAGCTCTGAACTGAGATTGAATTACAGACTTCCTTCCTGCCTGTGGCTCCTGGGGAAAGGGCTCTTGGAAATATAATCTAGCCCAGCAAATTAAGGTCGTTAATAGCATTGCCACCTCAGAGTGGCTGGGGGTGGGTGGGGGCAGTCCAGACAGAAGGGTTAGAGGGTGGAGTCCCAGTCCATCTAGTACCTTGCTGTCCCTAAAGTTATGGCTTCTCTGGGTTGGCCCACTATCCCCTGGCCTCCTGGGGGAGGGATATAGGAAGGCTCTGAGGATACTGATGGGAGTCACACAAGGCAGACCTTCTCTAGCATGTGAGGGTCCTTTCTAGGCAGAGGGAGGACAGGTGCCATGGATGGCCTCCCACCCACCCTCCCTGTGTGCGCAGAGAGTGGGGCACCCTTGTGTCCTTTGTACTGGTCTCCTCTCCAGGTCAGGCTCTCTGTCTACTCCTCACCTGGTACTGGGTGACAGGAGCCAACTTTCTGCTGTCCTCAGGCCCCCCTCTGGGTATGTGCCTCCCACGTGGTAAGAGCCCAAGTCTGCAGGCTTCCTGGAATCTCCTGGAGCCTCCTGGCCCATCGAGGAGGAGGGATTGGGGGACTATTGGGGGCTGTGTCTTTTTTGGACTCAGCAGGGATTATTTTTAGGCTGGCAGATGGAGGTGGCGGTGGCTGTCGCTGGTATTATTAGACAACAGGCCTGTGGTTTGAGAGTCTGGTGCCCAGAGGAGGAGGAAGAGGAGGCTGCAACAAGGAGCCAAGGAGGCTGGTATTCAGCCAGCGTCCTCCCCTCCTCTTAGCCATTATCAGACTCAGTAAGGCTTCTAGGACCAGGCAGAGTGGCCTTCACCAGAGTCAGCCAGTGATGCTCCGTCTGATCCAACTGCTTTTGGGAGGGAGGCCTGTCCTGTTAGCCTTCTGTGGTCTTGGAGTGGAGGGTCTGGACTCTCAGAACTTATGCAGAATGTAGGTGGAAACTGTCTCTGGGTAGGGAAAGAAAGAGGCACAGAGGAGAGATCTTGGTCTCCTGGGTTCTGGAAGGAATCCTGACCCACCATTTGTTACCTAGGTAACTTTGGGGGAGCCACATCCTGTCCCCGTTTGTGAGACTGAGAGAGCAGCACTGTGTTAGGAGCTACACTACAGGCATATAACATCACACTCCTGGTACAGACCCATATGTGGTGGAGCTGGGCAGGGTGTTCTATTTGCCTCCCACTGCAGCCAAGGGCTCTACGTCTGCTTCTTGCCTCTTCTCTGGATACTTAAAAGTGGCTTTCCATCCCCAGGACCCTTCCTCCCCACCCCTTTCCTGGCTCCAGCGTGAGACTGTTGGATGTGGGACTGTGCCAAGCCTTGGATGCCTTGTGGTTCTGTGCACACAGGGTGTCTGCTGGCAGCCCTGGACTCAACTACCCACTGGGTACCACCTGGCCCAGAGAATGGGAGATTTGTATCCTATGGGCTTCCCAAAGGTCAGCCAACCTGTAGGGGCTCACTTTATCCACCTGCCCTCTTGCTTTCTCTTTCCTGCCAGGATGGCATAGTCTTAGAGTAGGCTGGGCAGACACTCAGGATTTGGATTTACTAGTCATGTAAAACCATATTCTGCCCTCTTGAAAATGGCTGTGTAGGGCATCTCCTACCTTTCTTATCCTGCTCACCAAAGCCAGTCTAAGTGAGGGACCTGTGGTCACTGATCCTAAGCATCTCTCTTGACCTCCTCCTTCCTCCTTTCCTTGCCTTCCAGCTGTTCCCTGTGGCCCTACTGGGGACCAATATGTCTGCCTTATTTAGGCACTGCTCTGACTCTTAGCTCTAGGGTCCTGGGGGTGTGGGTTTTCAGTGTCTCTTTGTTATGGTAACTGACCTGAGTGTCTCCTCGAGTTGGGCTGGGCATGCACTCAGCTTGCATGAGATACATTTGTGCCCCCACCCCCACTAATTTCATGCCCTGAGTCTTTTTCACTCTTGGCCTAGGGTTTGCTTGCTCCTGTGTTTGATTTCTCAATTTTTCCTCTTTAAAGGCCCACTTCCCACTGTATGCCAGGCTGTTGACTTTTTTCTGTTTTTTTTTTTTTTTTTTCTCCTCACTGAGCTTTTTTGGAGAAATGTTTATTAGACATATTTTGGCTCAGAGAAAATCAGGCCTAGAGAGAGGTATCTGTGGGTGATAGAGTGAGGGAACACATCGTGTGTGTGTGTGTGTGTGTGTGTGTGTGCGTGCGCGTAAGTGTGTGTGTGTATGTGTGTGTGTGTGTGTGTGTGTGTAGGAAGAGAAGATGACTATTTTGAGATCCAAAAACCCAGGAGAGCTTGGGCTGAGTGTGGAGGCTGAGCCATGGCTTTCCCCTCGCCTTCCTTGTGGAGACACTTGTCTCATTTTGTCTCGTGTGTCATCTTGGGGATGCATCCAGTTTGCAGTCACTTGTCTGTGCTTGGGATGCTCTGGAGGAGAGATGCTGGCTGGAGGGTGGCTGCCCTGTGCTACCTTGGGGCAGGCTTCATGCTTGGGGCTTGAGGCCCAGCCCAGGGGCCTGGCTGAAGTCAGGAGTGTGAGGTTGCAGCCTCCCTTCCAGGGCTGGAAAGAAGGTGTGAAGGAGCTGCCTTATTGAGATGCGGTGAGAACCAGGCAGTGCTGGGTGCAAATGAGCAGCTGGAACTCTGGGGACCCTTGCCAATGTTGACCTACCTATGGGCATTGCTCTCCAGAGCCCGGGACTTGGCAGTCTGTTGTCCAGAGCAGGAGTTGACTCACAGAACTTCATTGTCTTCCCCAGCTCTCATTTTTCTGCCTAGACTTTTGGGACAAATGAGCTACCTGTATTGGGCCATTTTGCCTGGTAACCTGGACCTGGGAAAAGTCCCTTCCTTTTTCCCAGGTTCCTGTAGTGTGTCTCCTAATCTCCTTACAGGTTGTGCTGCAGGTAGTTTTTGCATGTGTGCACACACATGTACGTGCATGAGCACCCCTCCCTCCATTCTGGCTCATGGATCCTGCTGGCCATCCATTCTCCTTGGTCTAGTGCTGCTCTTTGTATGCCTGGATTCAATAGGGCTTTTTTGCCCAGGTATCCTATGGGATGTGGGGGGATACAGGGAGGCACTCCCTGCATCTGGGCCCTCTCCTTTCCTGGAGGGCCTGGGCTACCAACAGCCTGCAGCCAGACTGGAGGAGGGGAGGCTGGGAAACCTGCCTGGGCCTCTGGCAGGTGAGTGCAGTACTCTGCTTTGCTCCAAAAATACTCAGTGATCTTAGCTCTTTCTCTAGAAAACAGTGATGTCACCGGGAGCCAATAGGCTTCTGGAAGGGCTTGCCTCCCTCTCTGCCTCCTCCTTCCGCAAGTTGCAGAGAAGAGGGAGGAAGAGGGGGGAGAGGGAGACACAGGCGACACACACTGACTCCTTGGAGAGGCACAGACAAGAAGCACACATGCACATAGAAAGCTCCATATTTCTGAAAAGCAGGCAAAACCCTTTCTGTCATAAATACAGTAGAAATTCACAGGACACACACACACATGCACACAGAGAGGAAGAGAGAGAGGAGAGAAGAGGAGAGAGAGAGAGAGAGAGAGAGAGAGAGAGAGAGAGAGAGAGAGAGAGAGAACCATCCACATAGAGTAAGAAAGAAACAGAGATGGAGGCATTGACAGAGAGACACGAGGAAGGAGCAGAAAAGAGAGAGACAGACAGAAACAGATACACAACACACAAGCACACATAGGCACGGATGCCAAAAAGAGACAAAGGCAGATGCCCAGAGGAGTCAGGAAGGGAAAAGCAAGACCTAGAGAAAGGGGAGAAGTTGGTACAGAAGACACAGAGCTAGACAGTGATCAGAAAACACCACATACACACACACACACACAACTGGACACACAGCTGTGAAGGAAAGACAGGCATGAGCTCATGGGTCAGGGGTGCAGAAAGAGCAGAGGGGGGTCAGACAGTCTTGCTTTCCAGCTGGCATCTTTGGGTGGGAGGGCTCAACAGGTATCTGGTTGGAAGCCGCCTGTTGGTGGCTGCTGTCCTTGGTACTGCCCTGGAGAGCTGGGCTTAGAGGGTGGTATAGGGCAAAGTGTGGAGTCCTGGGCAGTTGAAGAGAGGCAGGGGTGAGGCTGTCCTCATTGGAAGAAATGGTCAAGGTGACCTTGTCATCTCCCTCTCCCCCTTCCTGGTCTGAGAAGTGTGTTTGGCTGGAGGCGGACTTTAGTTTTCGTTTGCTCTGATATGCGGACAATGTCCCCAGAGTTAGCCTCTTTTCTGACGACCCCCCCCCCAAGCTTGAAATTTGGATAGGGTTGAGGCCTCACTTGCCCACGTCTGTCCCTTACCCCCTTCCTCATGTGGGTGTGCCCTCTCTAGCTCCCTGATTTTGATGTCCCCTGTGAAAGGTAGGGATTGCTCCAGGGCTCTTCCTTTGTTACCTCCATATTTCTCCCTTAGTGCTGATGTCTTGGGCTCCTGTGAGAGTCTAATAGCTTCAAGACCTGGAAATCGGAGGGCTGCAGTGCCTCCTGCTCCCCTCTGCAGCAAGGCTGGCGCAGTGGGTTGGAGGAGGGGCTGGGGAGGCTGCTCAGGTCCGTGGGGCTTTCCCTCTGGTGTTGCCAAGCAGCCTCCTTAGCTTGTTAGGGATTCCCCGCTCCTGTATGGAGCCCTCTTGTTTAGTGCGGTAACACCAGGCTGAGCTGGGGGTGGGGCAGAGGAGGAGGCGGGCTCTGCCTTCGCCCACCAGGCTCCTGCAGGAAGCGCCTTACTTCAGAAAGAATGCCGGAATGTTCCTAAGCACTACAGCGGGGCAGGGCTCCCAGGGCTGAAAGCCCTTCGTCCCCTGTGTCTGTAGCTCCCAATGCTTCTTTGAAGGGCAGAGGATACCCAGGGAAGGCAGGCCAGGCATGATTATGACGGCTGCTTTTTGGGTCTGGGATGGGAAGTTCTGCTTGCAAGACTAGAGAAATTGGGATGCCCCCTCCTTTCTTCTCCTCTTCCAAAGCTATGCAGGAAAAGTTTGACTGTCCTCAGGGCAGAGGGAGGTATACATAAAAGGTGGGTGTCCAGGGTGCATCAGGGACCCTTGGGGAGGGAAGAGGCAGATCCAGGAATGGGGAGGGAGGGTTGGATATCAGCATGAATTGTGGGAGCAGGATTTTTTTTTTGGCCAATTCTTCATGTATCACCTTGGCTGTCCTTGTTAGGTGCCCACGGCCTACGAGAGGAACCCGAGTTTGTGACTGCTCGAGCCGGTGAGGGTGTTGTCCTGAGATGCGACGTAATCCATCCAGTGACGGGACAGCCCCCGCCCTATGTTGTAGAGTGGTTCAAGTTTGGGGTCCCCATCCCTATCTTCATCAAGTTTGGCTACTACCCCCCACACGTGGACCCTGAGTATGCAGGTAAGGTGTGAGTGATGAGGGCCGTCCCCCTTCTCTCTCCATCACCCTGTGGGTTTTGGCTGTGATGCATCTTCCAGGACTCAGTGGTACCCACAAAGTCCCAGGTGCTCTTCATTTTTACCCCTGTCACCTCTGCTCTTTTTCTTAACTGGTCCTATTATCTCTGTTCTCATGGTATTTGCCCTTCGCCTGCTCTCTCTGCCCTCTGGTGGGTTTTCATCAGAAGTGGGAGTTGAGGCAGACATGAAACATGTCTGTTCAGCCTGGGGATGTGATGAGGCCAGGAGCGCAGGGCAAGTTAGGAAAAAGGACCCCCCCTGGGAGGAAGCAAGAAGTGGGGGAAGAAGGGAGTCAGACAGCTCCACCCCTCCCCAGGTATGGTGCAAGGCTGCAGGATCAGCTGTCTGTATGCCCCCACTGTCCTGGCTCTGAAGTTGGGTGTCCTGTGCCGAGCCTGGTAGGCACCTCCACTGTTTGCTGTCTGTGGCCCTGGCAGACACCCGATCTCACTTCCTCCGCCACTACCCCCCTCCCGTTCCTTGGCCCCATTTGTGTGCCACTCTGTAATTATTCTGCCAGCGTGGTCTCCCTGTGACTCATGGCTGCCGCCCGCCAGCCTACCAGGGAAGAGGGCGCAGGCAGGGTGTGTGCATGTGTGTCTGTGAGTGTGAATGTGTGCTGGAACTGAAGGAAGCCAGGAGACAGGCAGGACCCTGCCTTTGCCTTTCTCTTTCCTGTGGCTTCTGAGGTCTGAAGTGCATTCTCTGAGAATACATCAATTCTTTTCCTTTTCCTCATCCTCTCCCTGCCTCTCTCCTTTTCTCTCTCCCTCTCTCTTCCCCTCCTTCCCTCCCTTCTTTCCTCTCTCCCTTCCTCCCTTCCTCTCACCTCTTCCCCTCCCCTCCCTCCCTCTTCTCCTCCCTCCCTCCCTTTCTCCCTCCCTTTCTCCCTCCCTTCCTCCCTCCCTCTCTCCNCCCTCCCTCCCTCCCTCCCTCCCTCCCTCCCTCCCTCCCTCCCTCACTTCTTCCCTCTCTCTCACCTTCTCCCCTCCTTCCCTCCCTGCCTCCCTCCCTCCCTCTCTCCCATCTTCTCCCCTCCTTTCCTTCCTCCCTATTTTCCTCCCTCCCACCTTCCCTCCCTTCATGTCTTCCTTTGCTGCTGGCAATGAAACTCAAAGCCCCGCACTTTCCATGCAAGCATGATACCTTTGAACTCTGCGAGTCAGGGTCTCACTAAGTTGCCCATTCTGGCTTCTAGTTCACAATCCTCCTGTTTTAGCCTCTTGAATTACAGGCCTGAATCACCATGCCAGGCCCTTTGCTGTCTGGCTTTCTTCTGAGACTATGTTCCCCACCCTCCTTCTGACCAGGGTTAACTTTGATAGTCTTTTTAGGCAGAATGGCATCAGAGATCCTGCCAGGAAGGTTTGACTCTGAGGCAGAGAGGCAAGCAGAGGAAGCCGTGATTTTGGTTTGAATGAATGTGGGCTGGAGTGAAAGGTGGGGTACGAGGGGCCCCTGCGTTTCTTTGTCCACTGCAGTTTAGGTAGGGACTCTGCTATGCCCTGTTGTCACAGAGGTGGCTAAAGAAGAACTGTCAACCCTTGCTTTGCCTGCCCCTTCTAGGCTAGTCTGGGGGGCATATATCATCTTGGTACTGGTAGCAGGAGTGGCAGGGACCCGAACATCTGGCCCTGGTCTGCCCTCCCTTCTGCCTCTTCAGGGAAGCCAGACAGAAGGAAGCTGGGTCAGATAAGTCCTGAGCACCTAGCTGGGACAAAGATATTGTGGGTCCTGCTGGGCTATCCCAGTCTATCCTTTTTTTCTATATCTTTCTCATCTCTGCATCCATCAAGCCTTTCCTTTGTCCAAGGTCTCCAAAAAAATGGGTACCCAGCAAGCTGCCTTTGTAGGCTGACACAGGGTCATTGTGGGAGGGACAGTGGCTCACAGTCAGGGCAGGTTTGTCTTTGCTTTCGTCTCCTGTTGCCTATGGTGGCTGCCGACTGCCATTTTGGGACACTGCCATGGGAAGTGGTCTGAAGGTTATGAAGGTCCCTTTGCCTTTTGTGGGGGGAGTGGGAGAGCTGATGGCTCAGCCTCATGGCTCACTGGGCTTTCTTCACTATGTCCCCCCCCCCCCCCCCAGGCCGGGCCAGTCTTCACGACAAAGCATCTCTGCGGCTGGAGCAGGTGCGCTCGGAGGACCAGGGCTGGTACGAATGCAAAGTCCTCATGCTGGACCAGCAGTATGACACATTCCACAACGGCAGCTGGGTCCACCTCACCATTAATGGTGCGTATCTATTTCTTGGGACTGGCCAAGGAAGATGGCCTCTGGGGCCTACTCTGGAGGAAATGCCTCTACTAAGAGGAGCCCTACTAAGCCCTGACCCCATAAGATTTTGGTTCATGTTTTCTTTACACCCCTCAGATATGTTCCTGGAATTCATGGGTCATTAGCATGCCTGGAAGCAGCAGGTACTGTATGTGCAGGGTGACATCAGAGTTCCTCCTAGGAAAGCTTGAATCTGCTTCTGGGCACCATGGGGGTTGAATCCATCAGTGTTGGTGTCATTTCTCGGCCGCTGATGACTCTGCTAGCCCAGGGAATGCCTTTTCTCAGGTGGGGCTCCCTGAGTCTCAGCGTGGCTCTTTCCAGGTTGCTCACGTAGTCCTTGCTAAGTGCATTTATTTGGGTACTAAGTATCAAGGGTCTATTGTGTCCCTAGCCTTGCATCAGGTGATGGGCAAATAACGTTGAATAAACCCAGACCCATTTCCTGCTCGAGCAGGGTTTACCAGCTAATAAAATGTGAGAATCCCGGGAAGAACTGTTTTAATGCCTGTCGGTTATTTATAGCTCACGTTAAATGGATTGTGCTGTGCACAGACGCTTTTCAAGTGCCTGACGGGGGCAAGGAGGCCTGGGGGAGCTTGCCGAGCTCCAGGGTTGGCCTAGGCTGGGGCGTCCTGGGTCCGCAGTGGCAATGGTCTGCGGGACTGAGTGTTAAGGTCTCTACAGAGGATGAGGTTTTCATGGCAGACACGCTGAGATGTGTCACATCTGGGGTAAATCTGGGATTATCGATGCCGTGGCCCTCAGAATTGATGCTCCTAAATTGGAAATTTCTCTCGAGATGGTTCTGCCTTGAAGAATGGTTCTCTCTCCCCTTTCTGCTGGGGTTCCCAGGATTGGGAACCTGTCCAGAATCTGCAAAGAACAGAGTATTTTAGTTTTTTTTCTAAGAGATAAATATTTTTTCCCCCAGTGTTAGAAAGCAAAGCCAATTGTGCAGGCCAGGCATGTGCTTTGCCAGAGTTATGTTCTCAGCCCCAGAGGAGACGATTTTAACAGGAGTGTTGGCCTATAATGCAGGACATTTCAAAGTTGGTGATCCAAGGTCAGAGGCAGGGCCGTCACTAGGTGTTGTTGGTCCCAGCTGTTGAAGGCAGATTTTTAAACCTTGTGTAGATTTGCTACAGCAACAGTCAGCTTTCACGTGGTCAATGGAATCAGTTGTGCTATGCCCAGGGCACTCTCTCACCAGGAACCCAAGCAGATCCTAACTCAGAAGGGAGATCTGCCGCTCAAGGCTTTCATGGCCGAGCACCAAGTCAGGAGGCCCTGCATCATCTTCATTTCTTTTCTTTTCTTTTTCCTGTTACTTTTCCTATTGCCTGAAACCACCTTGAGGTGTGGCCTAGCTCTCACATCATCCTGATTGGTAGTATCTATTCTGGGAACCCAGACCCCAGCCATGTAGCTAAGACTCATGTTCAGGAAGGCAGAGTTCTTGGGAACTTACGTTCTGTTGGATATTGTCTTCGTGTGTATGAGTTGATTACTCAGGCATTGCTAATGTCTCAGAGTGGAATAGATGTGGACCAAGTCCTGCCAAAGACGCAGCTTATGTCTTGAACCCATGGCATATTAAGTCACCCCTCTTAGTCTCAGTTTCCTCAGAGTCTGTTTGCAGGATGTTGCAGGGTTCAGTGGACTGCTGTGTGAGATTGTGTCTTGAACACCAATTACCCGAGGACAGTTATGAGCAAGATAGCAGCCACGTTTTACACAGTGGGGGAAGGGCAAGCAGATCAAAGCACTGGTGGCAGGGACAGCTGGCTACAAAGCTCCGAGGACTTTGGTCCTTTAAAAGTCCTTGTGAATCTACCAAAAATTATCCATTCAAGACATATTTCTCAATGTCTTCACTGTGGCGGGCTCTGGGAGTCAGGCAGGGGACATGACCCAATCCTGATGGTTAAGGCTTCCAGTCATGTCAAGAAATGATTGCCTTGTGCCTTCGGGAGCACAAAGGAGGATGAGCCTCTCTGAGGACATGACCTCTGTCCAGAAACCTGGCCAGGGAGGAGCTTAGACAAGAGGTGGGGATGAGATGGGAAGGGTCCTTTCCTATAGGATCTTTTGGGCCTTTGGGAGCCCAAAGGAGGGGAGCACCTGAGGAAGGGGGTGCAGGCAGGCTGTGGACATGCAAGTGCTGGGCAGAGCCCTGAAGCAGAGCTACCACCTGCTCTGTGCTTGATAACCAGCCTTTGCGTGCAGTTCGCTGTCACCCAGCAGCCGGCCGGAAAGGTGCAGAATAGAGCAGCACCCTACATGAAAGAGAGTTCCCACCCAGGCCAACATTTCCTCTCTTCCAAAATTTCTTTCTGTGTAAATATTTCTATTCTCGCCAGACAGAAGCAAGGCCAGCCTTTTTTTTTTTTTGTATCCAGAGCAGAATGTATAGGTTTTTTGTTGTCAGGCGTTTTGTGATGGGGTATCAAGAGAGGCCAGGACGAAAATACGAGTTACTGCTTCATGCGCCTCCTGCGTTTTCTCTGAAGACGGTTTGGGTGAAAACAATCCCAATTATTCCTTTATCACACGTAAAAGACCTCGGAAGCCCAGGCCGAGCCTTGCGATAGGGCTGGTGTGTGGCTCGAAGGAGAGGCCAGCTTATTTCCAACCTGCACTTTAATTAGAGGGCGCTTGCAAGAAGAATCGAGCCTGGAAGTGCAGCTGGCAAGCTAACACCTAATTCAGTAAATCATTGAGAGTCAAACCATTATTTTCCTGGAAACTTGAAATTGTTCAAAGTACTTTCCTGATTAGCACCTAAATAATAAAGTAATTATGTAATTAGTAATTAATTTGTCACTTCAGGACATAATTTAATTTATTATCTTTTCTTTTAAGCTTGACACCAGAGGTAACAGAGGCTGTGGTTGAGTTAACTGAATTCTGGAGGCAGGGTGGGTGAATGCAGGCTCTAGAATGAGTGCACAGTTCGCAGGGCCTGGAGGCTGGAGTCCTGGAACGCCTTTACAGGGATTTGGGAAGGCTTGTCACCATTGCTGCTAGTATCTTTCTACACATGGCTGAGCCCTGCATTTCTTGAGGGTCTGTGTTTTATGTGATGAAATGCATTTCTTGATTCACTGTGCAGTTCCAAATGTTGGTTGTACCCACCCAGCTATAGGTGTTGGAGATGCGAGGCCAAGGTGGCCCTGCTTGGTCTTGCTCCCAAGAGGATGTATGAGCTTGCATTTGTGTTGGTGGAGTACCTCACATCCAGGAGGGACAGGAAATTTGAGTATTCAGTGGCGCTAGGAAGAGGCACCTGCTCACATAAATCAACGGAATGGGATCTGGATATAGGGTTCCAGGTCACGTGAGAGCTCTGCAAATGGATGGGTCTTGAGTTTGGAAGTTCTTGCTGCAGAGGAGACTCAGAAAGCTGAGGCTGCTAGAGTCAGCAGGAGAACGTATCCAGGAGATGCTGCTGGTGCAGGCAGGACCTAATGCCAGCACTCTCTGACTGACTCTTGGATCATGGCTGTGTGGAGGGGGAAGGAGCCTTTCCAAGGCTCCCAGGGGTGATAATGGCAGTGGTAATGGCAGCGCAATCAGAGTTTGCTGTAAGCGTTTGTCCGCATTTTACACAAGATCTTTTAGAAACCTTTTCTTTTTTATTACCTGCATCACTTCTAGAGGGGAGAAGATTTAGAGAAAGCCCAGAGAGTCCGAGGAACCTACCTGAGATTATAGGGCAGGCTAGTACTTGAACTTGGACCCTTGAGAGGAACCCAGGATGGCCTATCCTAGTATTGTTGGATTTGGTGCTAGTATTTAAAAGAGCTATTTGGGGGAGAACATGGAACCAGTAGTCCGAGGGGTCCAAGTTGACCAGATTGTCTCTGCAAGCAGCTCAGGCAAAGGATGCTGAGTTTCTTAAAAGCCGATTATCCAAACAGGATGGAGTGTTAATCATACCTTCAGTGCATGGAAGAGGATAACCTCGTGTAATCAGGGGAGAATTAAGAAGGTAGTAGCCTGTGGGAATTCACTGCTCACCTTTATCCACAGGAGCCCAGGAGGAGGATGCAGGCGGGTGGGGGATTTTCCCTCTGAGCATCCTTAGCCTGGGACCTGTAGTAGGCCTTGATGGGACTCAGTCAAGAAATCTCCTGCAAGTGAATGGGCTTGGTGGAACTGGGATACCCGGAGTGGGAGACCCTGAGCAGCGTGCTAATCCTGAAGGGAGGTGGGAGAGTCTTTAGTCTTGTATGTTTCGAGCCCTGAGCACAGCGGCCTCCCAACCATACATGTCTGTAAATGTTCTTCTGGGCAGTAACTAAGTTCAGCCAGATGAGTGTAGAATTTGGAGAGAGCCAGACCGAGAGTAGGTCAAAGTTGACCAGATTGTCTCTGCAAGCAGCTCAGACAAAGGGTGATGAGTCTCTTAAAAGCCGATAATCCAAACAGAGTGGAGAGTTAATCATACTTTGAGAGCACGGGGGAGGATAACATAGTCTGCAGGTCCTAGCCGCCTTCCCCCCGTGATATATTACATCGGGTAGAAGTTTCTGCACTCTGTTTTTGTTCCTTTGTCCTTGCAATACTGCAGAGTTCTGCACAGGTGGATGGAGTCCGTCTCTCACTTTCCTGGTGTTCTTTGCAGCCCCCCCCACCTTTACAGAAACACCCCCCCAGTACATTGAGGCCAAGGAAGGTGGAAGTATTACCATGACTTGCACTGCTTTTGGGAACCCTAAGCCCATTGTCACCTGGCTCAAGGAAGGGACCCTCCTCGGTGCTAGTGGAAAGTACCAGGTGAGTGCAGCTCTCACCTGGGTACCACAACCACTCTTCCTCATCCTCTCTCCTTACCTGTCTCCCATCTAAGGCAGCTGGCCACTGATGCTGCGTGTACAGGCCCAGGGTGGAGGCAGGCAACCTAATGCCCTGACTTGACTGCAAGCGTTCTGCTGCCTTTTGTAGGGAGGCCCTTGTCCTCCTTTCCCCTGTAAATGAGTCCCTGAGGCCGTTCCCAACTTCTCAGAGCTCATCTCTTTGCTTAAGGGACAAGCCCGTGAGGCCCACAGGTTGATGTTGAGTTCTGTGCCCCCAGGTGAGTGACGGCAGCCTGACGGTGACATCGGTCAGTCGGGAAGACAGAGGCGCCTATACCTGCCGAGCATACAGCATCCAGGGTGAGGCTGTGCACACAACTCATCTGCTTGTTCAAGGTAGGGAGATTTTTTCAGTCTCTTTCTCGCTGGATCTCTGTAGGAGCCTTCCAGGCCTGCTGAACCGTGGAGAACGTTTTCTCAGGGCCCAGCCTGCCCAGCTGGGGGTGCTAGAGGAGTTGGGGGGTGGGATCTGTCTCACATGTATCTCTTACCCTGACTCCCACCCTGGTCAGTTGGGAAATGGTGTGGCAGAGGGACAGGGACCGTGCTGAGCCGGTTCTGATTTCCTGTTGAGGGCACATTCCTATCATGTTTCCACCTTCCTCAGAGAGGAGACCTGTCCCCCTCAGGGTCATCTATCCATCAAAGACAGCATCAGTATATAAAGACAGGACAATAATCCAAGTATCTGATATTTAAGCAACATCAGGGACTTTGGGTAAAGCTTGGTTCTGACTGTCTGGCCCCCGAGCGCCCTGAAGGGGGCTGAGCATTCGTTGCCAGGGTGGGAAAGGTGTCAGGTAGGGGTCTCTGTGTGCTGGAGTGACAGTGGCAGATAAGGGTAGTTGTGTCTGCTTGGCAGGGCAACTGTGATGACATTCTCTCCTTTGGCTTCTGAGGACTGAGCAGGGCCCGAGGCAAATGGTGGGAAGCAGCCTACATCCCACAGGAGGGTCAAAGCCTAGCTCTGCTGAGGTCTGGCTTCCTAGTCCCAAGGCTTGCTGGATTTTGCTTCTTTGCTCCCCAGAGTCCTCGCCTCAGTGGCCTGAACCTCCAACTGGAGAACAGTACAAGGTTCTGCTACTTCAGCGGGCCTTGTGCTTTCTGACTTGAGCTCTGTTGGCGTTGGGTAGGAAAGGTGCATGAGGGTTATAAATGGCTGCTCTGCAAACCATGGGGTCATTGCAGATGTGATACCGAAGGGTGCCTGAGCCTCACAGCAGCTGGAAGTATCGCCATGATGACTGCCTGGGCTCTGCTACCTGGACACCCCATCTTGAGCATCCCAGAGCTTCCTGGAGAGGCCTGGCATGGTAGCCTTCCCAATCAGGAGAGGTGATGTTTATTCCCTGTTCTCCCCAGGGCCTCCCTTCATTGTTTCCCCTCCTGAGAACATCACCGTCAACATCTCCCAGGATGCTCTGCTTACCTGCAGGGCAGAGGCGTATCCTGGCAACCTCACCTACACCTGGTACTGGCAGGATGAGAATGTGTACTTCCAGAAGTGAGTAGTACCCTGCTCCAACCCTCTTACACGCACCCCCACAGGCCACTGCCTTGAGAGAGGGGCCCTGGCAGTGCTTGGGAACCCAAAGCTCCCTTGCTGCCTCTAGGGGCGGTGAAGTGACTCACTGCTACCTTGCTTGTTTTTCTGCCAACATCCCCCCTTTCTCCTTGCCTGCTCCTCACTGTTTTGCAGTGACCTGAAGCTAAGGGTGCGGATCTTGATTGATGGGACGCTGATCATCTTCCGAGTGAAGCCAGAGGATGCTGGAAAGTATACCTGCGTCCCTAGCAACAGCCTGGGGCGCTCCCCTTCTGCCTCAGCATACCTGACTGTGCAGTGTGAGTAGGGGTGTGGGAGGGAGGGTTCTGGGCATTCTAGCAGGTGCAAGCTGCACTAGCGAGATCAGAACTTGAAGACCCAGCATGTTTCTGAGGACTAGAAGAACACCCGAGGGGGGACTAGTCCACCTCCAGAGGAGGCCATGGCCAGTCGGGCCAATAGAATGAACTGAAACTGGCAGATGTTGTCTGTGGGCTGGTCATCACTTGATGTGAGCCAGTTCACTGATTCAAGCTTAGGCCATGTTCAAGGATAACAAAGCTTACTTAGCTCTGAGCATTTGCTGTTCAGAATGGTAGTCCTTGTGTTATTGAGTACTGGTTTATACCTGGACTGACTGGGTCTGCTTCCATACCTCCTGGCTATCAAATCCCTCTACTCTGGGACCATGAGACTCAAATTAACGGGCTGCTGTTCCACCAGACCCAGAGAGGGCTTCTGGGGGAGCCCTAGATCCCACCTAGAACTAATACTTGGGCGCCTTGGGTTGCGTTCCTACCCCGTGACAAGCTGGACATTTGACAGAGCGAGATGGGAAGATGGGTAATGGAGATTAATGCCTTCCCTTTGACTCATGGATGGCCCTGTCACTCAGGCAACAAAGGCTGCAGGTTGTTGCTATAGGTGACAGACTTCCATTCTTAGAATGCTGGTGTGGGAGAATGATATACACCCGAGGACATGGAGAGGCAGGGATAAACAATGTAACGTGGTGATCTAAGTCAGCCTCTAAGCTGAGGACAACTTAGAGGAACAATCGGTGACCTTGGGAGCTCCCCCTGATGGCTGCACAGTGCTCGCAAGGGTCTGCTGTTGAACAGGCAAGGTCACAGCGGTGAAGCGCCATTGTATTTGCCGAGTCCCTCCCCACTCCTCACGGTGTGTGTTTTCTCATTCTGTGGGGGTGACTATGAATAAAGGCCTCAGTCCTCTTGTATTGCTGACACCTCCTCAGGATTTGTGCTTTGCTGGGGTGCAGGTTCCAGACTGTTATGTGTTGGGAAGCCTGGGACATTGGGTGGACTCCCTAGACCTGTAGTAGGAAAAGCATGCAGTCCTGGGGACTACAGGAAGGGGCTGCTTCACCTTGCAGGTGTGTCTCTCCCTCTGGGCTGGGTGTGGGCAGTGCCACATGAACTAGAAGGTAGCAGTGATGCAGGAGGGAGACAGCCAGCAGGAACCAGCCCTCAGAAGGATGCCAGACCAACCAAGATGAAGGCTCCGTCCTTGGAGCTATGGGCCGCTCGTCTCTTGCTGAGGCATCTTGGTTTCCCTGGCTCTCCTCAGCACCAGCATCCCCACCCGCTCCCACTTGTCCTTTCTTACCCCATTCCTCCCTTCAAAGAGAATCCAGGGAGTTGAGATTTATAGGTGGGTGAGACAAGGATCTTTATTTCTGCTAAAGAGCAGTGCTCAGAGTATTTCCCATTCATAAACCCTTTGAAAACCTTAGAGGAATAAAAAAAAAAAAAAGGACTATCATACAAAAGTAGGAAGCTACATTTAAATATATAACTCGGCCTGGTATTTATGTAAGGCTCTTTTCTGAAGAGCTCAGAATGCTTAAAAGGTACCAACCAGCTCATTCGTCACAGCCTTCCTAGCTCTGGATCTTTCTCCTTTGTAGCCCTAGGGGTCCTGGGGGACATGAGAAGATGTCACTTACCTCTCAGCACAGGGCTCCTGGGCCTCTTGCTGTCTGTCCTGGGGCCATGGTGGGTTTTACCTTTAACTGCAGAGTCAAGTGAAATTACTGAGGCCAAGGGAGGCTAGACATCCTGCAGAAGGAATACCAACCGTTCTGCTTGGGACAGCATTTTACCTAGAACTGACATTGCTCTTTCGGTTTAGGATGTGAAATAATTAACTGCTTACTTGTGAGAAACTTCAGGATACAAAGTAGTTGGAGAACTGCACAGTCATTGTTGGCTTGGCAGGGCAGGGCTAAAGTCTGTGGCGAGAGCCGCTTCCAAGTCCTGGGCCATTTAAAATGCACCTTTGAATGCCTCCACTCATTCCTGAGCATCCTACGGTTCTTAAAAGCGTAGTAAGCAGGGCGGCTGAAAGAAGCGTGCAGCCTGCTCCTGTCTGCTGTGCGTGGCCCCTAGGCTATAAGTGCTCCGGAGTGGGATTGTTGGTGGCTCTGGCTCCTAGCCCTGTATTGAATGTTGAGAGTCTGAAGTAGTAGATGTATAGGTTCTTTTGCAAAGGAATGGGGAGTGTGCGCTGGCGCTCACCTTCTGCTTTGATTGTTTCTCCCACACCACCCCTATCACAGACCCAGCCCGTGTCCTCAACATGCCCCCTGTCATTTATGTGCCCGTGGGAATCCATGGCTATATCCGCTGTCCTGTGGATGCAGAGCCACCCGCTACTGTGGTGAAGTGGAATAAGGATGGCCGGCCACTGCAGGTAGAGAAGGTAGGAGGGAGATGCTTGTTGGGACTCAGAATGAGGAGGATCCATCCTTCTGACAAGAAAGATGCTGCCTCTGGGCTCTGGGCCTTTGCCAGTCCCACTCCTCCTTAAAAAAAAAAAAAGTCTAGGCAAACAAGGAGCAACGATCTGGCAGGCGTTTGGCCGTGTTCCACGTCCGCAGGGGATGCCAGTTTCAGCTCAGTTGCTGTTCTGTCCCATACTCCTCTAGCCCGGCTCAGACTCTGCCCGGAAGAGGCTGGTATTCAGTGCCCGTGTCCTGACCATGGCCCCCTGCTCTCTTATCTATGTCTGGCAGAACTTGGGGTGGACCTTGATGGACGATGGCTCTATTCGCATTGAGGAGGCCACAGAGGAGGCTCTTGGCACTTACACCTGTGTGCCTTACAATACCCTGGGGACTATGGGCCAGTCTGCCCCTGCACGGCTTGTCCTAAAGGTGAGTCTCCCGGACGGTGCGTGGCCCCCCCGTGGTGGGCAGTTTTCCTTCGGCCAACCTTTCCCACGTGTCTCTGTGCTTCCCGCAGGACCCCCCGTATTTCACGGTGCTACCAGGCTGGGAGTACAGGCAGGAGGCCGGCCGGGAGCTGCTCATTCCCTGCGCAGCTGCAGGGGACCCCTTCCCTGTCATCACCTGGAGGAAGGTACCTGGGCCTTCAAGCTCTTGCACTGTGGGGGAGGCAGGGAAGATCCAGTGGTTTGGAACTGTGTGGACAGGCCAGATGTTAGGAGGGGAGGCGACACTGGAGGATAGCGGTGGGGTGTTGGCACTGGGCTCAGGGCTCGCGACACCACCTTCATCCTCTTCAGACTCCTGGAGTTGTGAGCTCGCGTCCCTTAACCTGAATCCCTGCTCCCATCCTCTTCCCTGCTCCTTGTTTGGCTAAGGTAGGGAAGCCCAGCAGAAGCAAGCACAACGCCCTGCCCAGCGGGAGTCTCCAGTTCCGTGCCCTGAGTAAGGAGGACCACGGGGAGTGGGAATGTGTTGCCACCAATGTGGTCACAAGCATCACTGCCAGCACCCACCTCACTGTCATCGGTACGTGGTCGAGTAGGCCGTCTTGGGTGACTGCTAGCACTCTGCAGGCGTCTTTCCTAAGTCAGACCAAGGAGTGCAACCCCATACCCTTGACTGCAGGGGACTCTGGCAGGCAGGGTCAGGATCCCTGTTTGTCCTATCTTGGGGAGGGTAGGGGAGAGGAGATATTTGGGAACTGGAATAGAAAGAGTGAGAATCAGATGTGGCACCTTGGCCAGACACTGAGCTGCCTGAAGGGAGGACTGGTGTCCACAGCCTGGGGCAGGAGGAATGACTGTGCTCCTTGTTCTGATCGCTCAGGACATGCCAGCCTGAGTGTAGCCTGTCCCCTTGGGACTTGACAGTCACAGTAGCACCCAAAGCCAATACAGTTTTCCCTGTCAGTTCAGACTATGAATAAAGTGGTCTGCATCTTGTTATTCATAACCTGGCCTGGAGTCACATCCTTCATACCCAGCAGGTGTGGCCTTGTACCTAGACCACTGCTGTCTGCTGTGTGCAATGTGGCTGTCGTTTGTAGCTAGAGATTAAGGGGATGTCATTTTTGGGTTTTCCCAGGATGCCAAGGGATTGTTTTTTAGCTCACAAGATGCATGGGAATTTGGTCAGGATGAGGAGGGTTCTGTTTTTCCCTCTGGCTCATGTTCCTGCTGGTGATGCTAGCCTATGTAGTGGATGGGCTTTTCTCTCTGACGCCAGCAGGACCGGGGTGGGCCTGGGATCCTGCCTTCGTTGTAGCCACTTCTTAGGACGCATCTTGGTACCCTGGATCTCCTACCAGAAGATGATGGGGACTAGCAAATGGGCTTGGTGGCTTCTTTTGTTCTGAGCTGTCTTCCTTGGTCTCCAGGCACTAGTCCCCATGCCCCAGGCAGTGTCCGGGTCCAGGTCTCCATGACAACTGCCAACGTGTCCTGGGAGCCAGGCTATGATGGAGGCTATGAGCAGACATTCTCAGTTTGGTACGGACCTCTGTGAGTCAGCCCCGCATGCTTTGCTCTCTGCTTCTCTTTCCCTTGCCCCACTTAGGGCACCCAGCCTGCCCCATCCCATCCCATCCCATCCCACCCTGGGGCTGGCGGTGGGCCCAAGGAGGCTAGGACCTGCACTTGTCAGCTCTGCAGATGGCCAGGCAGTGATGGAGTTCTTAAGGATGCTAGGGATGTCTATAAGGGACTCAGTGAGTCCTTATGGCACCACCCTGGAGGTTGGAATGCTGGTTTGGGCTTAACTCTCCCCCCCCCCCCGCCCCGTGCCCTCTCTGTGGCACTCTCAGTGCCCCCTCATTTACTGTCTTACCTCAGTCTTTCTCCAGGTTCCTAGTCTTGACAGTGTTGTAAATGGTATGTGAGGTTTAGAGTCTAGTTTTTGTTGTTCCTTGCCCAGAGGTTCCAGGTATCAGGAGAACATATGCTCCCATCCCTGCCCTTGCCTCTCCTGTCTGTTTTTTCTCTCTAGGATTTTGTGCATGTCATTTTCATGTCTGTTATTAACCAGATCAGTGACTTAAGATCCTTGCCCAAACCTTGGGGTAGCTAGATCTCACAAATGCACGGACCAGGATGAGGACCCAAGGCATGGGATAGGATGACGAGAAGCCGAGCGAGCTGCACTCCCTTCTTTTCCAGGTCTCTGGGGCTTCTCATTCCTAGCATTCCTGTCTTGAGCTGGGAACCACAGCTTCACAGACAACATTCTCAAGTGGGGAAGACAAACCTTTCGCTTCCCTCTCCTTCAGCCTGGTTCAGTCTGAATCTGGGGAGGAGGAACAAGCAGATGTAGACCTCAGAGAGGGCCCTCAGCAGCCCGAGGTTGAGGGCGGCCTTCCATCTCCCCAGCCGTTCTCAGACTGCACAGACAGACTTTTGAGATCCCTGTGGTTGAACTGGATTGGGGTTGGGGAAGGGTGGCATCTGGCGTAGCAGATTTGGGTGCAGATACGGGCTCCCTTTGTGGCCGATGGCGCTGCTCTGTGTGAGGGCGCCCCTCATCTGCACAACTTTTTATCACATTCTGTTCGCTTGCTTTGGCAGAGAAGGTCAGTTGCCAGGGTGGAGGAGATTCCCCGCTTCCTTCTGGCAGATCATTGTACTATTGTAGTCATTTGACGCCTGCTGGGTTTCTTTTTTTCTTTCCATGCGTGTTTTGCCTCTGCTCACATTATTGGGCCCACCTGGTAGCAGGAGTGAATCTTAAAACCTAGGGAGGAACCTGTGGGTATCAGTGAATTACAGCTCGGGGCTGCATGGAGTAGGCCAGTTATCCTGGACAATGTCTCCTCCCTGTGGTGTCTTCTGGAACTGCATCTGCAGCAGGTGGTTTCCTTACCTGTTGGGTGTTGAGGAGGAGGCTTTGGAGTGGGAAACCTCATCCCTAGTTTCTTTTCTCTCCATCTCTGTCACTTTCCCCTTGACTGTGGTTTCTGTCCTCCAAGGTCAAGTCTCAGGAATCCTGGGCCTGCCACAAAGCAAAACCTGTTTTTTTTTTTTTTTTTTCATGCCTTGGCTATCCTCAGATGACCTGAGTTGGACTGGGTCTAGCAGAGCATCCTGGATGACTCTGGGCCCCACTTTTGTCTCTCTCCAGTATGGTAGACAGTCAAGGTTGTCTAGGTTCCTTTTCTAGCCTTGGCATTGCCCAGCCGCTCCTCCTCAAATCCAGTGTCCCTATTCTATCAAGTGAACCCATATATAAAGTGGTTCCGAGTGTAGAATTCTCTCACGGTGCAATTGGTAACTTGACCAGTGTCCTCAGCATGATTTACACCCGACGACCCCTTTTCCATGGGGAGGTACCACAGTGGGGTGTGCCCAGGTGCCATGAAAGTTGGCATAGCCAGAGCCAGGCAGGTAACCCCACCTTGGTTATCCTTCTTCCTGCCCTTGGACCTGGGGATGCTTGTATTTTCACTGCCTTTTCCTTGGGAACCTGCATGCATGCTATTCTCTCCAGTGTGACCCACCCCACCCCTTCTCCCCCATCTCTTCTCTCTCTCTTTTGGTCAGGATGAAGCGGGCTCAGTTTGGGCCCCACGACTGGCTGTCCTTGTCAGTGCCACCGGGCCCCAGCTGGTTGCTGGTAGACAGCTTGGAGCCTGAGACCGCATACCAGTTCAGTGTCCTGGCCCAGAACAGGCTGGGAACCAGCGCCTTCAGTGAGGTGGTCACTGTGAACACTTTAGGTGAGGTCCTGGGCTGGTGTGTATGGGGGTTATTTCTTAGCAGAGCTGACCTAGACAAAGGTGATGCTAGTGATAGTCTTAGAATTAACATTAGGCCTTGGCAAGAGACACTTCTCAGGTGGATGGAGGTCATGTCTCCAGCCCCCTTTCTGCTCCGTGGATGGCAGGTGTAAAATGCTCACCCCAAACTCTGAAGTTCCTCTTCTGGGCTTCATTTATTGTTTGTTTTTGAATAGGTTCTCACTGTGTAGGCCTCCCTAACCTGGAACTCACTCTGTACCTAGCTGGCCTTGAACTCACAGGGCTCTGCCTGTCTCTGCCTCCCAAGTGCTGGGATTAAAGGCGTGCGCCACCAGTCCTGGCCTGGGCCTCACTTTGAGCTCAAGGGCCCCAGATGGAATCAAAAGTAGGACTCGTGTGTTGTGAGAAGAGCTTATCAGTTCTTGGGATGAGAGCAGAAGATAAACCATGTGCCGCTTAACAGTAGGGAAAAGCGTCAGAAGAAACCACATCTGAGAAATGTGTCGTTAAGCAGTGAGATCATCGTGTAGCTGGCGTGACGTGAGACAAAGTGATGCAACCGAGAAATCCAGTGAACTGTAGATCCTCGGAGCTGATGCTGCAGGAGCAGGGTGGGCTGTTGTCACCAGCAACCTTTTCCGTTGTTGGAGTACACCCTAGCCATAGAAATAAAGCACAGGGCCTGGAGAGATGGTGCAGAGGTTCAGAGCACTGGTTGCTCTTTCAGAGGTCCTGAGTTCAATTCCCAGCAACCACATGGTGGCTTACTGCAAAGAGATCTGGTGCCCTCTTCTGGCCTGCGGGGATAGATGCAGGGAGAACACTGTATACATAATAAATACATAAGTCTTTTTTTAAAAAAAATATTTATTTATTTATTATGTATACAATGTTCTGTCTGTGTGTATGCCTGCAGGCCAGAAGAGGGCACCAGACCTCA